CATGAAGCCCCAGGCTTGTTTTCAATTTTTTTGAAAGAATATACTATAATACAGTAATAAAGGTGTCATAGGACCCTTCTTACTGTTAACTCTGAATTTTCGAATATTTCCAAAGTTTGAATTTATTTCAGCGTCTTCCTAAAACTACAAAATTGAAGATAGGGAATTTTCCTTTAAGTACATTTTTCTATAATTCTTTATTTAAACATAGTTAAATTTAAAAAAAGTGGTTTTCGTGCAATATAAGCAATGGTTCTAAACGGTGGCAAATGTTTTTTAGTGGTAACCGAATGTTGTAGTGCCAACGGAAGAGAGTTACTTTAAACACATAGTCGTCTATGCATTAACGTATAATTGGTCCATTGATAATAAACAAACCGTATTCCAAACGAGAAATTGGTTCCCAAATTCGTTTGTTACAAGTTCCATTAAAATAGCGAGGCTCTAGCTGTTTGCTTTGCTCACAAAATTAAGTGACGTCAAGTTATTTAGTCGTCTCTTAATTCTAATAGTCGTTCATGCCCAATGAATGACGTCATTGATTTCGAATCAGTGAAAGGTGAATCAGAGCGCGGTGGTTTCTCGGTGTCTCTGACCGGGAGTCTCTAGAGTTCGACGCCCGACCGTGGCAGTGTCTGGAGGAGCCTTCTAGCGGTCGGCTGGTCTGATAGATAGTTGTACGCCTACGAGAAATTCATTCCTGCCTTTGACAAGGGCCTTCGATCCCTTTTGAGGACGGAGCTCTCTGTGTTTGATATAAGATGGGCTACTACTTGGGGCATGCGATTTCACCAATGCAAAGGACCAAAACAGTCCCTTTTTCGTGGATACCTTTCTAAGTTTCGGAAGGACGTCCATATTAGTATTTCTTAGAGACAGTCACAAATCAAACAAAATGGATGGTCATCTGCTACCAAAGTGAAAAAGAAGGTATAGTTTACGTGCAACCATTCTTTTTATATCAACAGCTACTTGCAAGTGATGAAATAAATTGTAGATATATAATATAAATTTGAATCATTTTAATTATTGATTGTGGGTTATAATTTCTTTAAATTTTATTTTTGCACTCTTTCAGTGCGTTTTTGGATCCTTACTTAATGCACAGTTACTGCATATTTTAGGTAAAATAAATTCATGAATATCCGGATTCGCGTTAGAAATGTTTTGTTATAAATGTTAACTGGTAGTGAACATGATGATTTTTTAAAATGTATTTTAGGATTTAAAATTTCTAGAAGACAAAACCATGTGTGATAATTTTCAAGTTTAACCGTACAAAATCCACTAAATATCAGTTAATGTATTTCTGAATCGAAACATTCACATTATTTTTCGGCGTTAACTGAATGAAAACCAAGAATCTCCTTTCAATGATAATTTAAGGTGCAGGACTGCAAAATATTAAAGGGCAACATGGATTACTAGAATTTTTGAAGTTGCGTTTACCCTCTCAAGTGAAGTTTAAAATTTTCATTCTCAATATTTTATTCCATGAAGAGATTATTTAATTTTTTATTTATTTATTTATTTTTGTAGGATCCTCTAGCATCCTGCTGTGATGGTGCTCCTATTGCTACGATTAAACAAGAGATCACTGCATGTTCCCCAGGTAAGGGTATGATATTTTTTTAATTATTTCATGAACCTCTGGTACAAACCTTTGGGATGGTGTGTACAGTACTTGGTAAAAATTATGCCTGGGCTGTTCACAAAACAATGTGGCAAGATCCCCTTTCTCTTTAAGAAGACAGCCCCCTCTGAGGGTTTGCAGGCCCTCAAAGAGGATGCTAATTCCTTCACGGTTCAGCGGATCCGATTGTGCCCCTAATGCACTGAAGCGCGCAAATACCCAACAGAAGTACAAATTGTGAACTTGTTAGGGAACATAGGGATCTCATTCCTCATATTGTAATAGTGCACAAAATTAATTAACAATAGCCGGATAATATTAAAAAAATTATAATTTTCTTTTTACAAATTATGGTATGGTATTACAAGTTATAATATATTTCTTTTTACATGTTACACATACTTTGTACCTTGCCGATCAACCCTTTTCCTGGAAAATGTTTAAGTAGCTTGTTGCCAGTTAATTCAGTTCAATATCTGCAGGTACCTGAGAATTGAATGAATCTTTATTGTAGGACACTTTCCGAATGTTTCCAGCATATTTTATTAAACACCTTTGAGAGTGTGTTCTCCAAGCATATATTTCTCTGAATGTCGTAGTAAATATATACAATTTTAATATTCTTGTGGACGGAAATGTCAAAAAAGACAATTACTTTCTACCAGCTTACCCAGTAGTGAGAAAGTAATGTAATTCCGCGGGGAAAAGTAATATTTTTTCGACAGAAAAATTCCGTGACACCTTAAATGACGATTCTTCTTGCTCCTTTATATAGTAAATTACTCTCTCAAATACTTAGTCAAAATATACCTTTCTGTGTTCCTTAATACTGAAAAATTTAAACTTCCGTCTGTCAGTGAACAACTCGAAGGCGTACACTATTCGCAGGATTTTGTCGAAAATGAATATTTCTAGATCGACATGGCCTGACCTAAAGCCTTGATCTTTTGAAAATAGTTCTTGGTCCGACATGAAGCCTCTGGTACTTTTTTTAAAAATTTCTAAAAAATTGCAACAAATTATTTCTTTAAATTGTAATAATACATTCAAATATACCTATAAAGATGGCAGGTTGGCGATTTTCACTGAAGACGCTGAACATTGAGAATCACCGAAGTTCGACAATCTATGTCTTCCACATTGTTGAAGATTGGAATCTTTTTCCTCAAATGAAATTTGTGTTCCACAATTAGTTCTTTAAATAATGTATTGAACTTCTTTTCCCCCCTCAAATTTCCGTCTTTCATTGATGCAACGCATCTCCAAGCCCCAAGCGCGTTGAGTAATCCTTCATTAATTCAATATGTCATGTCATTTGCCAAGTCTCGTCGCAGTCAAATGTCAAAACGACCGCGAAGATGCATCTCCGCGTAAGCGCAGTAGGTGAGATCCGAGAGAACTGGGATTCCTCTAATTGCATTAAAAACGGCATTAAAGTGTCCCAGTTCTCTCAGCAATGCAATGAGGAAGGTGAAGGACACTCAGAGAGGTCATTGACATGTTAATGACATCAGGGCAGTCCCAGTTCTCTCCGCAATGTTAATTGAAGGGAAGGGAGTGTCCCAGAACTCTCAGGAGGGTTCTAATGAATTCTCCGGAGATGTCAGGGTCACCAACATCGACATTAGGGGAAGGACAGTCTCAGAGAGGTCATTGACATCAGAGCGGTCCCAGTTCTCTCCTCAATGCTAAGTGAATGTGACGTACGAAAGGGAAAAGTCCCAGAACTCTCTGGAGGGTTCTAATGAATGACATTGAGGTAGGGTGCGGACGTGACAGACAGAGCGCGCTAGTCACAACAAAAAAAACTCCTTGAGAGTATTTAAAAGAGAGTTGTTGGTCGGTAATCATTTAATTCACGCGCACCGCCAATTCAACAACAACCACAACAAAAAATGTCTGAAGTGACCGACGTGTACTTCGACTCAGAAGATAACTACGAGGTGTTTGACGAGTCAACGTCCGTGGAAGTGGAGGAGGGGTGCGAGGATCCCACGAAACCACGCGACCTGGAAGGTCGACGCGTGATCAACCTGGGCGATCCGGTCGACCACCAAGATGCTGCGACGAAGCTGTATGTGGATAATCAATTTACAAACGCGCGGAAATTCACAAACTATACTTCCAAGCAGCAGATAAAAATACTACGACATGCGATCCGATTTACATAACTTATCAGCCAAACAAACTCATTATTTACGTCAATGGCAATATCCCGGACCATTCAATGCGGATCTTTTTCGTATTTCGAATGTTGGCAACCCCGAGGAAGACCGCGATGCTACACCGAGATCGTACGTGGACTGCAAAGTGAAGGAACTGAAAAAAGAAGTTGATAAACTTCCTCCAATCCGGTTGAGCAAGGCAATGTGAACATGCGAAAATTACGCCTGGTCAACGTGGCCCCTCCCCGCAGCAAGGACGACGCAGTAACGAAACAATACGTAGACGCCAACATGAACCTCTTTACATGCAGTGCCTTGCCGCAAGATAATAATTTTAATCAACAACGAATCATCAACGTGGCTGACCCCATCGAGGAAACTGATGTCGTCAACCTAAGGACCTTACGCCTGTTTCTTGAATCCAAACTAAGAAAGAGAGATTATGATAAATGTTTGTCTATAATCGAATAAAATGACCATGTAAAAACAAAAAATAAGTAAAAAAAGAGTAAGAATTGTGTCTTTAGTCCCACTCCATCGTTTTCCTATCCTTACCCCTCCCCCAAAAAATAGACTAGTCTAAATGAAAGTTTTTGGAGGCAGCTATAGAAGGAAGAGGACCCTGCCAGGTGGGGGACGTAGGGGAAAAAAGTAGTGTTGTTGTGAAAAAAGGTTTTCCAAACATTTTTCGAAACATTGAATAAAACAATACAATAGCATATCTTTTTACACACTGTCCATCCCAAGCATAAAAACTTTATTTCCTACGAGCTGATTGAGGTGAAAGTCGCGTATGTGACGCACTCGAATGTCCAAACCCAGTCTTCTCTGAAGATCCAAAAGTGCTATACTTAGCGGATTTTCATGTCGCATTACGTTTTGCAGAAGGCGAAGCACAATAGGGTCATCAAAAGAGAGGTTGCTGATATCAACTAGTCCCCCTTCCTCGTCCTCACTATCAGTACTTTCCCACTTCACATTCACCATTATCATTTGGCGGTTTATGTATCAAGACGTATCTACACATGGGGAATGTTTGACGACTCGTCAACCATTGTTTAATACATTCATCGCAAAAACGATGTTTGCAGAGTGTTTCAACCCATCGCGTAATGTTGTCTTTATGACAGATTAGACAAATTACCTCTGGACAAATACTGTCGCCGTTCACCTCAGCGAAAGGTGTTTCCGTTGTCTCCGTGTCAAAACGTACGGCTCTTCGGCGTCGGCAACAGTAGCAGTCTCGCTTGGCGGGTGGCGGTCCGTCGATGTGCGTGCGGCTCGTTGTAATGTTCCAGACAGGGTAGAAGTTCTTGAATTGATGACAGCTGTTGAATGTGAAGAGGTAGGCGAATGTAGACGTGAGGGACCTCTCTCGCCGCCCAATGTGTCAGGAACGTGACGGGAAGATGAGCCAGACTGTCGTCATCCAGGTGACTGAGAGAGCCACCACTGTCGCGAAGGCGTTGCAGAGCCCTCTCCATATTGTCTGCGGTTGTAGGGAGGCGAGCTCCCATCACACACACACACACACACAACTGCGTGCGTTGAATGTGCACGCAAACACGTTGATGTGTATATAACTCGCGCGTTCTATCTAATCACCAGGGATGTTAGTGTGAGGCAGACAGCTAGTGGATGGGGAGGAGAAAAAAGAATAGATATGACATCATCCTGGAAGAGCTCCAAAAATTTTTTTTTGTCCGCTACCAAAGCACATTGGAGTGATGTCACCATCCAGTGGAAGAGCCCCAAGACATGTTGAATGCCGATAGCTTCAACGGTGATGTGAAGGGTATTTGTAAAGAGCTTGTAGAGCTTGCGGTGCGCGTCCACACATTTTTTGAGAAGTGTAAAATAACAGCAACTTTTTGGCTCTAGGTTTGCAGTGAGATCATGAGGGAGAAGCCAAGTTCGAAAGAGAGCAACAATTGCCTGTCTTATTTCCTGTGATTCAGGTGCCTGCGAAAATAACCCATGTATCAGTACTGTGCAAAGTCTCACGACAGTCTTGCGAGGGTGGGGTGAGTGCGTTGTCGGTTGGCGCGCGGGGCGAAGTGGACCCATGTGCGAGTACAAGCAGGCTGCGCTCTCGGAGATTGCTTCCGCTATCTCGGAGAACGGCCTCCAGCTTAGTGCCCGAGGCAGCGTTTTGGGAGGCGGTATGGGTCGCCGTACCGCACTCGCCGAGGCACACCCAGAGCCTAGCAGAAGGCGCGGACCGCTTCTATTTTTCTTCTGCGCTTGTTTCCTTCCTGAGATGCCACGCCCGGACTGATTTTCCTGAAGCACAGTGACTGCCCCCTTTTTATAAGTGGTGGATACTGTTACGTCATAGCTGCAAGTGGCTCCTGCATTTGGAGATTAGACATCTCTGGGCGCTTAATGGCCGTTTACGTGAGCGCTGAGTACTGATTCGCGACCTAACCAAAGCACGCTTGTCTCACAGGGCAAGGCGATTATTCCCACTTCAGACATGGATATCTTTCTGTGCATGATGTTCTTCTGTGAAGTGCGCAGTGCAAGCCCATCTCTGTCGGGCGTGAGGCGCGTCTTCATTCTACCTGCAGTTGTGCGAGTTGTGGACGACACGATGTTCACCAGTGTCTCTAAGTGTAGAAACAGAGACCAATCCTGTAAAGTTGCCAGTCTCTTAATCACAAATGGTTCATTAGCAATCCATTCTGTCCTGTTAAATTGATTTTTTTGGTATTGGCTAATTTTAAATGCATGTACAGTAAAGTATATTCCCGTTTTTGTTCTCCAAAGTTTTTAATGATTTTTTCGGTGTCTATTAAAAAAATTAGTCCTTTTTAGGCCCCTAAAACATTAGTATTTAGTGCCTTTATATCCGATGCCTATAGATGAAATAGCCACTTCCTGTTATGCGGGCTGGCGATCCCTGCGCGTGTGGGAGGAGGGTTGTTCATGTTGCATGCCTTCCGAGGCCTCATTCACAATGCAAACGCGAACGTGACGTAATGCCGTCAACTTTTTTGAATTGAATTGAATATGCCTTATTTTACGTGGCGAGACTCGGGCCATCAGGCCGCTCTTCCGTCTGACCACGCAAATTTCGCTACGCTCCTTTCACCAACTAGCAGAGAAAGAAGGTATTTTTGGGGCGAGAAACAGGCGATTTTGAATTTAGCTCAGAGGCGTCATTTAGGCTTGAGGATCTTTTACATGCAAGTAAATCTACCAACAAGGGACAGCCGGCTTTACTTCCCCTCCGAAGGAAGGCGTACGAAGGATATTGTCGCCCTAAAAATCCACGACTTCGATCGGGTTTGAATTCGCCAACTTGGGTACAACAGTCCGGTACGCTAACGGTCACACCATCGCCGCCGCCGCGTCAACTTAGCAGTAAAATTTACACGTCAAATGAAACATTCTCAATAACGTGTTTCGCTTGAGCCAATCAGGTTTCAACGTATTGAAGTTTGATCGATTGTCGATTCGTTCCTAGCACGGTGGAAACGTCTTTTCACAGTGATATCTACCGTTTTCTTTGATCTTCCTACGGATTTGTCTTAATATATAAATACGAGTTGTATTACTTCTGCCATTCCTTTATTTTTAAAACAAGGATTCTCTTGTATCAAATTCACAAGTGATTCGTCGGAAGTAATTACTTTATTCGCCACGTCCAGTTAAAGTCACAAGAAAAATGGTCCAAATTCTTACTTTGAATCCACTACTCACGTGAAAACAGTTCGGAAAATTGTTCAGTACATAACAGGAATGAAATAACTACAGACCGCCTCAACACAATCCATGTTTGTTTCTTTCGTGGTCTGATAGGTCTTCGGTAGAAATCCGACGTAAAAGTAACGTAAAAGCTTGGTGCTTGTGAACTCTAAGTTTACAACTTTACGACTACGCTGACGTCAAGGCATTGTGAACGATCTCGCTTAGTAATACCTTTCTGGGTTTAGTCGCTACGGTCTGTTTACGTTAAAGTCTGCGTCTCAACGACGCCTTAGCGGTGCAGTCCCGCCGCGAGGACCACTGTGGCGGCACTCGGAGCTGCCAGTTTAGTCTCTGCGCTTCAAAACTTAACAACACATGCTTCTAGGAGCAAAATAATATACGACGAAAATATAACTTAAAAGTATTGAATTTTCATGATAAAAGCCTTAAACGGTGTTTTAGAATTCCCAAGCCCTTAACTGGTTGGGTCATTCGAAGATAATGTTTAAAAGTTAAAATTTTGAAAATAGTTTCTGTCAAAATCTTCGTCAGATCATAAAGGATTATCTCTGCTTTAATTTCAGATTTACTTTCTGGAAATCATTACCTATACTTTTTCTAAATATTACACCTTTTTACCTTTTTGAATAATTGCGAAACAAAAATACTTATTAAAATATATTCAACGCTTTTGCAAAAGTGCGCCCTCTTTCCCGATCTGTACTATTGAACTCGCATTGCATGTTTATATCTCCAAATGTTCGATTGCTAAGCTTCAAACGTTTCTTGTTGCTAGACTGTCCCTGAATTTTTCTGTTACAAACATTTTTTTGTTGATAGGTGAAGGGAGTTTTACATCAGAGAAACCCACCACAATCCAGACACAACAGAGTCATAGTACAGACGTGGATTGCATCCCTAAGTGTAGCTTCAGCAACTACGACCAGACCACGCACCACAAGGACGCTGTCCCCCACAGCAGCATCCACGGAGGAAAGTGTTCCATTTGCAATACGATGTTCAGTGGAAATACGAAGTTTCATAAGCACTATCGCACCCTCACTGGTGAGAAACCTTTCCAGTGTTCCATCTGTGAGAAGACCTTCACTCTGAAAGGACACTTGGATACGCACATACCCACACACACTATTAAGAAGCCATTCCAGTGTTTGATCTTTGAGAAGACCACTGTAAAAGTAATCTGGGATAAGAACACGCTCCCCCACACGGGTGAGACACCATTCCAATGTCCCATCTGTGAGAAAACCTTCACTCAGAAAGGAACTTTGAGTAAGCACATGCGCACTCACACAGGCGAGAAACCTTTTCAGTGTACCATCTGTGCGATGACATTCACTGAAAAGGGAACCTTGGATAAGCACATGCGCACCCACACTGGTGAGAAACCTTTCCAGTGTTTCGTCTGTGAGAAGACGTTCACTCAGAAAGGTAACCTGGATAGGCACGTGCGCACCCACACTGGTGAGAAACCTTTCCAGTGTTCCATCTGTGAAAAGGCCTTTGCTGAAAAAGGAACTTTGAGTAAGCACATGCGCACTCACACTAGTGGGAAACCATTTCAATTTACCATCTAAGAAGACTCATTAAAAAGGGCCATTTATATACGTCTACTCCAGATCATGGGCATAAAATTATTTTATTATTGGTGATTTTAATATAGATATTCTGAGGAATAATATTGTCCTTTATTATATTACCAATTTACACAATTTTGTTCATATTTTGCATATTAAAATGCCGAAAAGAGTATGAGGTGACGTAAGTTATTGTACTGACATCTTCGGCAAAGTTGATATATACAAATTTTTCACCTCTTATTAATAATTTATATTTGACTTGCCGTTTTGAAACAATTGTTTCTAGAAGGGGGTCAAATGGCTGACTTCGGCCTACGAGGGTTCACCTATGCTCACTAGTAAACACCAGTAATGCCCTCCTGTAATGGGAAACCCCGATTTGGTACAAAAGTCAACAAGTTCTCTCTCCTCCCCGCGGTGGTTCCTGGGTGCTTGTTAAGGTGAGAGCACCTAAGGATAGGGGCTAGCCTCCGGCGTCTGAAGACGGGAACATTGGGTTAAGGGAAGGAAACACTGACAAAACCAACCTGCTGCTTTGCTGGGAGGATGTCCTAAGGCTAAACAAGGGAATTGCTGACAGAAAACCAACCTGTTCTCTTGCAGGGATGAGAGGGCTCTCCAAAGGCTAGTAGAGAAAACCCTATACAATATCACGCAGGCCCAGAGGCGGAGAGGGGGCATGTCCACTGGCTTAAGGACAATCACCCACTTACTCTTACAACAGATTCAGAGAAACTTAAATAGCCTTGGACAAGAAACACAACGTAGACGACCGCGCATAAATATAGGCATACGGAATATAACATCAATAAGAGGAAAAGAAGTGGAAATAGTAGAAGAGATTGAAAAGTACAATTTAAAGTTTTGAGGCATTAGTGAAGTTAAAAAGAAGGGAGCAGGAGAGGTGGAAGTGCAAAAGGGGTTTGTAATGAGAATAGCGGTGTGTACATTAAAACAAGGGCGGTGCGGGAACTAGGGATTATCGCGAACCCGGAAATTAATAAGAGAGTGATAAATTCTGAACCGGTAAGTGCAAGAAATATGAGAGTGGACACACAAAGGAGAGTGACACGGGTGAGTATATATTCACCACACGAAGATAAAGATACAATAGAAAAGGAAATGTTTAATACCGAACTTCAAAGAGTAATGGAACAAACAAGGGACGAATTATCATGTGATAATGTGAGACT